TAATAAAATGGAGATAACTGAGCAGATATATTTTTTTATGAAAACTGGCCACTCTGATTACAGTTAACCCTTGAACAATGCAGGTTTGAACTGTGCAGGTCCACTTATGTCTAGATTTTTTTTTCAATAAATACAGTAGAATACTGTAAATGTATTTTCTCTTATGATTTTCTTAATAACATCCTTTCTCTAGCTTATCTTATTGTAAGAATACAGTATATAATATGTACAACAGACAAAATATGTATTAATCTACTCCAATCAAAAGTAGGCTATTAGTAGTTATTTTTGGAGTCAAAATAATACACGGATTTTTGACCATGTAGGGGGGTCAGCTCAGCTAACCCCCATGTTGTTCAAGGGTCAACCGTATTCAGTTGTTAAGTGTGAAGTTGGTAGGTTATTTTAGATTTAAATGTGAGGCCTAGATGTCACCTAGCCTCATAGCAGCAGGATCACATACACAAAATCAGTGACCAGTGGATGTGGGAATCCAGGTGGCCTTTTTTACTCTGACAATGAGTCTCCTTCTCCTGGTTTTCCTCCTGCTTCCTGGCCACTCAGCTCACTATGTTTTGTTATCTTTTGTTTCTTTTGTTTTGTTTTCTGGGTCCCTTCCTGTGTTTCTCCTCTGCATTTCAACAGCTTTTCTGTTTATGTATCTATCTACCTCACCAGAGTGTTATCTCTTCTAGCAAGCACCACATGTCCTTGGTCTTTTCATTTCTGGAATCCCAGATACTTTCTGAAACAAGCTAAAAATCAGTGCATGTGTACTAAATTGATCTTTTGTAACAACTCCCAACAGGAAAAGCACCTCCTCCATTTAGAAGTCAGCATTATAGATTTTATATTTGTAGGCACCATACATATGACCTTTTGTTTGGTGTCAAACACTGCAGGGAACTGGCTCTGCTTTGTTGCCCTGGTGAATTTGCATGTTCCTACTTAGGACTTGTAGGCAAAGCTAGACGGCTGGCACGTGACTCTTGGCAGAACACCTTGTGATTCCTCTTGGGGGGCGGGGGTAAGCAGCCTGATGAGAAGCTGCTACAAAGTAGTTTCTCACCTGCCTCCCTATCTAGCTGGAAGCTGACACAAGGTCAAATATGCATCCATCTCTGGTTTCAGTTGGGTGCAGGACATCCCTCCTTGCTCCACCTGAGAGTACAGCTGTGGACTACAAAAATGCTCCCTGCCTTAGGGTACTGCTGTGAACTTCACACTGGCAGAGAGACCCACCGGCCTGTATTGTCTGTCACTGAACAACTCCCAGTCAGTGTCAGTCCCTGTATGACTACCGGTGCAGGGAGCTGACACCAAGCTGATACTGCTTTTGCTGTGTAAGCAATAAACGGATTGAATCCATTTGGGCTTACCATTTCCTGACCGGTCAAATCTACGGAAGTGTGATAAGCCAAAATAACAGCTGCTGTGGTTAAGCATGTGGTCCTCTTGGCTTCTGCAGTGTTACTTAAGGACCACTTGACGGACTCTGGTGTTGACTTGTGTGGGTTGCATGACCAGAATATTGGCTTATTTTCTTTGGCATCACACACAGCAAGGAACACAGTTCTCAGCACATACCATGACTTAGAGCAGCCTTGTCAGACCTCAGATATTTACAGACCCACTTTAGAATGGATGCCATGTCCAACACCAGCTACGTTGTTATTCAATCAATAAATGTATTGAAATCAGTTTTTAAACTCAAATCATTTAAAAAGTTAGCTAAAAAGACATCTATGCCTACTTGAGGGGCACCTGGGTGACTCAGTCATTAAGCGTCTGCCTTCGGCTCAGGTCATGATCCCAGGGTCCTGGGATCGAGCCCTGCATCGGGCTCCCTGCTCAGCGGGAAGCCTGCTTTTCCCTCTCCCACTCCCCCTGCTTATGTTTCCTCTCTTGCTGTGTCTCTCTCTGTAAAATAAATAAATAAAATCTTTAAAAAAAAGAAGACATCTATGCCTACTTGAAATTCAAAATCAGTATCACTTGCTAGAGATGGAATTGTGATGGTAAATGAAATAAAAACAATTTGAAAGTTTAAATGAAAAATAAAGGAACAAGCCAAATCCATTCGCAATGTAATGCCTAATTTCATATGTTATTTCATTTATTCTTCATAGCAATCAGTTAGTATAAATATTGTAATTTCTATTTTATTTTATTTTTAAAGATTTTATTTATTTATTTGACAGAGAGAGACACAGTGAGAGAAGGAACACAATCAGGGGGAGTGGGAGAGGGAGAAGCAAGCTTCCCACTGAGCAGGGAGCCTGATGTGGGGCTTGATCCCCAGACCCTGGGATCATGACCTGAGCCGAAGGCAGAGGCTTAATGACTGAGCCACCCAGGCGGCCCTGTAATTTCTATTTTAGAAATGAAACAGACCCAGTGGGTCTAAATGCCTTTCCTGTCATCAGACAGTCAGTTTCAGAGTCAGGACTGAAACCCATGTCTATTTCATGCCATACCCAAAAGGAGGCAGAATAGGTAAGAACCAAGTTAATTTGCTTCAGCCATACCCCCTTTTTGTTTGTTTGTTTGTTTGTTTTACTTAGGCCCTCCCTCATTTTTTTTTTTAATCCAACTCCACAACCTAGGGACCTCTCATATATTTTGTGGCTAAGTGTGACACCCTACCTTTAGTCTCACTTTTAATTTGAACCTTAGATTTTCAGTACTTTTTGACTAAGGAATATTTTTCATCCTCTGTAAAGTGGGGAAACCATTGCTGCTTGTAATCCCTTGCCATTCCCTAAATGGGGTGAATTTTGAGTAGTGCCCTTAGTTGCAGAAGTATTTTTTTGGAGTGTGAGGATGCAAATGGGGGCGGGGCTCAGTGATACAAGTAATTCTCGTATTGTGCAGACTAATAGGGGTGTTAAGGCTAGAACTAGCCTCTGGAGGTGCTTCTGAGATATGGTGATTGTTAGGCTGATAGAGAGATTGTATGTAGAGGGAAAAAGAGATCTGCGGCTTTTCCCTCCCTGCCTTTAAGTAACTTTTGAAGAGAGGTCAGAAATTCTGCAGACGTTGTGGTCTTTTGCCATATGGCGCCTTGTGTCACCAGTTCCTTTCTCTTTCTTCATACGAACCACTCCAAATGGCTTTAGTATTCTAGTTATATTTTTCTACAGCACAGTAATTTATGTTATCAAAATATTTTTAATGTTTGTTATCAATGATTTCATCTGGGACACTCACTATATGATCTGTGGGCCACATTTTGGGAAAACTTTCAAGAGAAGAACAAAACCTTTTATGTCAAATGGTGAAAAAATTACTCTAAATTTTTATGAAAATATCAGATTACCATGATAGTTATAATGTACACTGTGAATTTTCCTAGATTTGGCATTTTCAGAAATATTTACTTTGAGAAAGAACAAGCCTTCTAACTTAGAACTTGAATCTCCAAGTCTGCTGCTTACTGGAGTCAGATATAAGTTTTGGGTACACTCTGACCTTTTTTGTGAGATCATAAAATGTATAAAATGAGGTCATAAATGTATGAAACTTAGGACAAAGAAGTGGCTTAGTACTCACAAATACAAGCTTTTATAATAACTCCTGTTATTATTAAAGAACACAATAAATGGAGTTACAGTCCTAACTGTACACAGCTCTGGTTGGTCAGCCATTCACAACCATTATCTAGGCAAGTTAATAGAGCCATGATGTTTATTTTTCTGGGTATAGAAGAGTAATATCAGCATAGAAACAGGAGCAGGTAGCTTGCGTAGTGACAGCATCATTAGGGGTATCTTGTAGGAAAGATGGGCAACTCACAAGGCTTGAAAAAATAGTCACTGTACTTTAGGTAGGGTCCAATGCTAAAAAGGAGATGCAATTCAGAAACAGCTAAACATGGGCAAGTCTAGCCCTGCATTACTCACAGCCTGTCAGAGTCTTCAGTTCCAGGGAGTAGAAAAGGGTTTTACATACCAATTCATTTTATGAAGCTAGTGTTACCTTGATACCAAAGTCCAAAAAAGAGAGTACATGAAATAAAAATACAGGTTAATGTCACTCTTGAGGACATACACAAAAATTCTAAACAAATTATTAAGACTTAGATTATTCAGAAGAATAATATATCATGACCATTTTTCTCCCTAGTAATGAATGGTTGGTTAAAAACAGAGGAAGTTACCTATGTAATTCACCACATTAACAGATTAAAGGAGAAAAAATCCTATGATCATCTCAATAAATGCACGACAAGTGTTTGATGAAAGTCAACATATATGCAAGATAAATATAGAACTTTCTTTACTACACAATAAACATGGTGAAATTTAAAATTTTCCACTTCTTATCAGGAATAAGATGAGAATGTCCAATATTACCAGTTCTATTCAACATTTGTACTGGGTGGGTCTGTCCAATGTTATGAGAGAAGGAAAAGTTATAATGTTTAAAACAGAAGGAGCAAACTGTTAGTATTCAAAGATTATATGGTTGTGTATGTTGAAAACCAAATGGAAGCCAGACATAAACTTTCAAAATTAAAAAGCATATTTAGCAAAGTTGCTGGAGAGAACATCAATTTACAAATATATCTGTATATACCAGGTAAATCACAATACAAAATTTAAAATAATGAACAAAACAAACGAATAAAGAAAAAAGGAGACAAAAAACAGACTCTTAAATACAAAGAACAAACTGATGGTTGCCAGAGCAGAGGTGGGTGGGGGGATGGGTCAAATAGGTAAAGGGGGTTAACAGTACATTTATCTTGATGAGCATCAGGTGATGTATGGAATTGCTGAATCATTATTTTGCACACCTGAAACTAACACTGAATATTAATTATACTTGAATAAAAAAATGACATATGAAAATTACAAAGTAGATGCTCAATAAATGTTCTCTCCCAGGGAAATAATAAATAAATGAAGTGATATGATTTTCAATAGCATCAAATGCTTAGAAATAAGTTTAACAAAACATTTGCATGAGTCTTTGGAGAAAGTTGTAAAACTTTATTGAGAGAATTTTAACAGTGAAATATCCAGCATAAGAACAGTTTGCATGGTTTCAGCTTGTCTTCATTTAATCCTGTGACTGCCCGTCATCTGTAAAGTAAACAAAACAGTTGGAAACATTACTTAGCAGAATTTTATTTATAGTACATTAAAGGTATACAACAAACACTATAGTTTTGGTTTTATAAGATAGATTTTAAGCATATATTTAATCAGTATTTTTAAACACATCACTCTTTCTATGGGTACAAGGAAACAAAAAGGCAGTTCAAGTTCAGAACACACTAAATGAATGGAACTCAGGTCATGATCTCAGGGTCATGAGATCGAGGCCATGTAGGGCTCAGCAGGGAGTCTGTTGGATATTCTCTCTCCCTTTGCCCCTCCCCCTTCTTGTGTGCTCATGCTCTCTCTCTCAAGTAAATAAAAATAAAACTTTAAAAATAAAAGCTTCCACTTGAAATAACATTCTGAATATAAGATATCTAAAACAATGTCACATTTTTGCTGCTTAAGTGAATAAAAAGACCAGTATACATTTGTTTTGGCTCTATCGTGCAGAAGTGCAAAAATGTTTTTTTGAGCTAGTTTAGCCTTTATGTGATTGGTAACCATTTGTCCCCATTTCCACCTGTAATCCTACTATGATTATGAATAATGCCCTTTTTCACACTTGACAGTTTGTATAATAAATTACATGGTCATACTGATTTTAAGTTATCACCATCATTTCTGACATCAAAATGTGAAGCACATATATACTACTGTGTCTTACAGTATGATACAAAAATGGAAGGAATGAATTGAGGAAGTGAAAAAGGAAATGAATGGAGAGAGGGAAAGATACCTAGAAAAGTCAAACATTTGTTTCTAAAAGTAAGTGCTTTTTAAAAACTTTTATTAAGGAATAACTGACAAACATACTTGTATATATTTCAAGTGTACGTGATGATTTGCTCCTATGTGCACACTGTGATTACCAAATAAACATAAGGAATTAACACATCCATCACCGCATATAGTTAACCTTTTGTGTGTGAGAATGCTTAAGATCTACTCTCTCCACCTTTCAAGTATACAATCAATATCATATTATTCACTAAAAGTAAGTGCTTCTGAGGGACAACTCTGACAAATTTCAGAAGTTTTCTCATAGTATCTGCAATGTTCAGATACTTCTGGGATATATTATATAAGTTTTCCTAATATATCAACCATTTCATCCATATTTTAAAAATATTAAGAGTTCAAGAATATATTCACTTTCAGTTATATAAAATACTATTTGTTAGTGTCTTGTTCATATTCCTTATTGTGTGTACTTCATTTTTTTAGTTTCTTCAAGATTATGTAAACTAGTGGATACTCTTCATAAATATTTTTTAAAAGAGCAATCTGCCTCATTTATTAGTTGCATTACTTTTCCTTTTACTAATATTTCTTACCTTTTATTTAGTACCTCTTTCCTTTTTGTTAGGTTTATTCTGTTGCTTTTTTTTCTTACCTTTTATATTGGATGCTCATGTAATGTATTATCTATGGAATAACATGCATTTTAAAGGCTATGATCTTCCTATGAGTACATTTTAGCCATGTTCAATAGGCTCCTGGAAGTAGTCTGAAAAATATCTCTTTATGTAAACAGTCTAATGGAATGGTTCAGCAATGTAGACTAAAAATGTTTAGGCCAATGAAAGGTAATTTCCTCCCTAAATATCAAGTGTGTCCTTTAAATTCAGAAGCTCTTATAATTAATGGTCATCGATTTGAAAAACACATATGTAAAACCTAAGTTGATTACTTAGGAATTATTAAAGTTACAGACTTTAAACTTCAAATCTTAACAATTTATGTCTCAAGGCAGAAACTTATTGTCACTTTTGCTATCGTTATAGGTGATTTTATCATAGTGTTCACATTTTTTTTTTTTAAGATTTTATTTATTTGCAAGAGAGAGAATGAGAGACAGAGAGCATGAGAGGGAGGAGGGTCAGAGGGAGAAGCAGACTCCCCGCTGAGCAGGGAGCCCGATGCGGGACTCGATCCCGCGACTCCAGGATCATGACCTGAGCCCAAGGCAGTCGCTTAACCAACTGAGCCACCCAGGCGCCCCAGTGTTCACATTTTTATTAGGGACAGTAGCTCATGAAGACTGACAGGGGTACAGTGAGTGTGCTTAGCACAGATATCTTATACCCATCTTGAGCATCAGTGACTACATGCATTTTCTCTACTTGATCAGCCACAGATACTAGAAACTTGACTCCCTCTTGCCATTTTCTTATGTAGTCATTTGAGGCTTCTTGGGAAAAAGGATTTAAAATGCAATTGTTTTTTAAAAGCCAGAAGAATTCAGAATTTTACAGAATCTACTTACACCTATTTGGGTCTCCACATAGAAAAACAAACATCAAGCAGTATTTACTCATTGTCTTAGTAGCAATAAAATCTCAATTCAGATGTTAACATTTCACCCCAGATGATATTTTACAATAATTGAGTCATGCAAAATAGCATATCTTTGTATTCTATTCATGCTATCCAACAGAACCAGAGAATGCAAAAATCAGCATTAAAAGTTACTTTAATATATCTGATTTGAATTCACTAATTATACAGGAGTAAAGGTGGGTTTAGAAGTTAAGGGATTCTCCTGGAATCACACAAATTACGTTAGAGCTGGTAGTAGAACCTACTTTAGTACCTCAGCATATTTCATACAAGCTGATATTTACTATAAATGCATTATGTATTTGTAAACATAGACATTATGAAAGAATCTGAAAATTATTAGCTCTTGGCTAAAGTACTTATATTCAAAAGTAAGAAGATGTTTTATATTTCATAGTTCAATATGGCTTTGACCCAATTTGTTTCTAGATCTGTTAGTCTGTAAGTAAGGCAGTCAGGCACTTAGGGTCCAAATTACCTGCCAAATAATCTTTATTATGTGAACAATAATAAACTTGACTATGTCTTGTCATTTTATTATTTAGTCATCTGAGGCTTGTTTGGGGAAAGGATTTAAAATGCCACTGTTTTTATTAAAGTAACAATAATGTTATATCAATATTATTAATGATATTCTGAAAACTAAAACCACATACTTTGCATTCTTAAAGGGTAGCATATCTGCTTTTGGCATTTTAATGAACTCTACATTTGATAAACTTGCCCCCTTGACATTCAGACCATCTCTACACTTACCCCCAATATTTGACTCAGCCAGTTCCCAGAGATCAGCTTTCAGATCAGGCTCTTAAAAAAAAGTTAACAATTTAAGCAATGAACATGAAATATAAATAAGGAAAAAATATTTATTCCTTCAGTTACATGAAATAAAATCCTGTCGGCTACTATGATAATAACTATGATGGAAGGATGGACTTCACATCTTTGTTTTCCTGTATTATGAAACTATTTTAAATGACAACCTAAAGATAAACCACACACACAAAAAGATAAACCACACTACATCTACATTTCCATTATATTACCATAGCGTACCAAAAGTAGAGAGCATCAGCTATCTAAGAAACCTGAAGTCTACACCATGGATAGGATTTTAATTACAATAAAAATGTAATTTTCTGAAGGATTAACTGAGTGCATTTTTGGGCTTATGACAAATCTTATAGTAGTGACACACATCCCCTTTTGGGGTAGCCTGAAACTTATTTTGTTAAAAGTAACTAGCTATATTAAGGTACAAAGGCCCTTTATGTAATTTTCCATAAATAAGTCCTATTTAGAGCAAAGTATCAAAAATACCAACAAATTATTAGCAAAATTTCTGTCCTGAATGAGAATAAAGGAAGTAGGTTGGAAGGAAATTAATGGGCTTTGTTGTCAGTCATGTTGTGGAAACCTCTTTTTTTTTTTTTTAAAGATTTTATTTATTTATTTGAGAGAGAGAATGAGAGACAGAGAGCATGAGAGGGAGGAGGGTCAGAGGGAGAAGCAGACTCCCTGCCGAGCAGAGAGCCTGATGCGGGACTCGATCCCGGGACTCCAGGATCATGACCTGAGCCGAAGGCAGTCGCTTAACCAACTGAGCCACCCAGGCGCCCCATGTTGTGGAAACCTCTTAACAATGAATTGCTAAAATAATCCATGGCCTAAATTATGTAAATAATTGACTATAACTTTTTGGTAAAAATACTATATTTAGAAGAAACAGTTTTTGGTTGTATGGTAATTTTAAGGTACTTCTGATTTTCCTAATCATAGAAGTATTTAAACATCTTTTAAAGCTGCTTTAAAAATCATACTAATATATTTAGCTATATGCCAGTATTCTAAATTATCCAGCTATTACCAAGCTTACCAGATCAAACTATCAATAAAAGGAAATAGTGGCTCTCACTTATTGAGCTCTTTTCTGGAGTCTCTCTCCTGCTCCACTGAACTGCATTTATTCCTGGGCCAGGACTGAGCTACTTTACAGTAGAGACACATTTGAGTATTAAGCATTTTATATAAAACCATTCACTTTTGTTTGTTTTTATTTTTTTTCTTAAAGTTTGTATTTAAATTCCAGTTAACATACAGTGTAATATTAGTTTCAGGTGTAGAATTTAGTGATTCATCACTTACATACAACATCCAGTGCTCATCACAACAAATGCCCTCCTTAAGACCCATCACCTGTTTAACCCATCCCATCCTCCCCATCCCCCGCCCAGCTCCCCTCCAGTAACCCACAGTTTGTTCTCTATAGTTAAGAGTCTGTTTCTTGGTTTCCTCTCTTTTTTTTCTCTCTCTGCTCATCTTTTTGTTTCTTAAATTCCACATGAGTGAAATCATATGGTATTTGTCTTTCTCTGACTGACTTATTTCGCTTAGCATAATACACTCTAGCTCCATCCACGTCATTGCAAATGGCAAGATTTCATTCACTTTTCATACAGTGTAGATGGTAAGAAGAACATAAGCCTTGGAATGAAATATGAATTATGCTTCCATGAGTGAAGTGCAAACCATGATCCCTGAGCCTGTTTTCTCATAAAATGAGACTACCATCCCTATGCAAATAGGCTCTTATTCCAGGTGTTATATGTTGACTTGGCACTCGGCCCATGCTGTTAAAAGTTGCTTACACTGGGCGCCTGGGTGGCTCAGTTGGTTAAGCGACTGCCTTGCGCTCAGGTCATGATCCTGGAGTTCCGGGATCGAGTCCCGCATCGGGCTCCCTGCTCGGCAGGGAGTCTGCTTCTCCCTCTGACCCTCCTCCCTCTCATGCTCTCTGTCTCTCATTCTCTCTGTCTCAAATAAATAAATAAAATCTTTAAAAAAAAAAAGTTGCTTACACTTTTTTTTAAGTCGCTTACACTTTCAATGCAATGACTAAAAAGGTCACACAACAACGTTCTGAGGAAAACAAATTAAGCTACTGAAATAATGTGCAATTTTTGTAGTTATAACTAAACACAGTTTCCTCTGCTTTGGCAAGGTCTGTATTTTCAAGCAAAAGAAAAAATCAATCTTGTAGGAAAAGAGCAAATTCATTATAGTGAAGGACTGCACAAAGTTGCAAAGTATAGTCTCTTCACGTTTTCAGCCTATTTTCAGGAAAGGTTTGAGATAATCTCTGTCTTCCTTCCTCCTGTTATGGTATGTCATAATGCATGATGCCCACATATACCCCCTCCCCCCTTAAGCATTCTTCCCCTTCCTTTCACCTTGAAACACAAGTGCTCCTTTATCTTCCTTCCCTTGATCCTGACTCTCAGGTGGTGCCTCCTTTTGTTTCAGTTGCTCATCAGTGCACTGCTGGGCCTAGGGGTGTGTGTGCGGACACACACGTGTGCAAATAAAAAGCTTTGTTAATACTTGCCAACAATATGAATCATACAATACATAGATATATCTAGTCATAAATAAGTATAAAGGCATTTTAAAAATCAGATTCTATAAACTTATTCTTAATGAAGTTACTCTTCCCATACACTGACGACTCAAGAAGAAATACCAACAAGGACTTTGGAGGCTATTTTAAATTATACTGGGATAGATGTGTGCAATTTGCTGTTAAAAAAAATGGGAAAGAAGTCCCAGGGTGTATTTCCACAGGCAACACCAGAATGGAATTCTCCTGGATCAGTGTTTCCCTCCCATTATCACCAGAGAAAACTTATTACTGTATCCATAGTAGTTCAACAAAATTTTCAGAAAAATAAATTTCTGGTAATAGAAAGCATCAAATATTAAAGTACTCACAACCACAGGATTAATTCCCTGGGAAGACTTTTGATCATTTCTTCTTTGTTTAGATTGGAATCTTGATTTTACACGCCCACTCATATTTCACCCTGAAAGTAGAATATTGGTATTTGGAAAATGTATTTAAGAGAATAGCTATACCACTACCATGGCTAAATGTTTTCTTTTAATTTCTTTTTAACTTCGAAAATACTTTATTTAAAAAAAAAGATGTATTTATTGCACAGAGAGAGCACGCACCAAGCACAAGCAGGGGGATCGGAGAAGCAGGCTCCCCCACCCAGCAGGGAGCCCCATGCGGGGCTTATTTGAGAGAGAAAGAGAGAGAGAGAGAGCACACACGCCAAGCACAAGCAGGGGGAGCAACAGAGGGAGAGGGAGAAGCAGGCTCCCCACCCAGCAGGGAGCCCCATGCGGGGCTCGATCCTAGGACCTGGGATCATGACCTGAGCTGAAGGCAGACGCTTAACCGACTGAGCCACGCAGGCGCCCCAAAAATACTTTCAAAGTAAGTCCCAGAATATATGGCTGTTTTCACACTACAAGGGCAGAGATGTTTAGTTCCAACATCGACTAAAGGGTCTGATCCTCCCTTGCACTTTGCACGATGCACCACAAGTCTCGGAGAGGCAGTTACAACCCTAAAACATTTCCCGTTTCTAGACCCTTTTTTATTTCCCACATGACAGGCTCCCTGCCCATGGCCCCCGTGAGGAATCCAGCTTCTGCGCTCTGCCGGCAGTTCCAGGTACTTCCGGGACTCAGACACCTCAAATAATAACCCCAAGGCGCACCCCCATCTTTATCTGACCTGTTACCTCCGTAGCCCACGTTTCTCCCTTGTCTCCCCTGCCCCCCGCCACCTCGCCCAATAACGTGGGCCATGATGGTCACAACGCCTGTGAGAAGGATGACGACCTCCAGAACCTTCCTTCTTGGAAGCCACCAACTGTGCCACCTGGATATGCCTGAGGCCCAATAGCACCCTCTTTACAGTCACTCACACTTAGATTCCTGGAAAAACTGATTTGTGGATCTACCAGTAGCGTCTCAGACAGAAAGAGTCAAGACGGAAGGAACGGGACAGCCTCCACCTCAGCTCTGCTCGCCGAACACAGACAGCAAAGCGCATGTGCAGCAACTGACACGCACAGCAACAGGCATGAGCACTGATTGAGGCACGTGAAATGTGCATTGAGGTTTGTGATAGGTTGCCACTGAGACTCAGAACCACAGGGTCTCCCGAGGACGACAAACGGGGCTTGAAGAGTGTTTTTTTTTTTTTTTTTTTCTCCCACCCAGTCTTTCCTATGCATCCAGAAACTTTGGAGACAGACAGCCCCAGGTACCCTTTGGGAAGACTGTTTCTCAGAACAACGTGACAGAAATGGTTATTAAGTATTTACTATTTATTTTTTAAAGATTTTATTTATTTAGTTGACAGAGAGAGCACAAGTAGGCAGAGTGGCAGGCAGAGGGAGAGGGAGAAGCAGGCTCTCTGATGAGCAGGGAGCCCAATGTGGGGCTTGATCCCAGGACCCTGGGATCATGACCTGAGCTGAAGGCAGCCGCTTAACCAACTGAGCCACCCAGGCGCCCCAGTATTTACTATTTTTTACATGCTTTGATTAATCATTTCCTTCTATGTTTCTGGGACTTCTGTCATGCTCAGTCCACTCTCAGATGGTGTACAGCAATGGTGACTATGCTCTTCATATACTGTACTTCCCAAATATCAACCAGTTTGCTGAGTGAAGGTGACTTTATTGCATAACACTGTAAGGGAGAGCACTACCCGGACTGAGCCTTAGTAGAGTCTTGCAGGTGGCAGGGCAGGACAGATATTTATTCAGATTTTGAAGTTGGTGTAGAGCAGGTCTACAAATGTCAGGGGAGTACAGGTGTAGTTAGGATTAACAATCATAATAGAATGGTTTGGGTTTAGTGAATGTGGTGAGGCAAGAATTTTAAGACAGATGGTTCAAAGAGGCATGAGGTTGAAAAATGTCACTTGGTACTTTTTATTGAAGAGTTGATGGGTCTTGTAGGTAGTTCCTGGAATGAATAAGAGTTATTTCCCATTTTTATCTTCTTAGGCAAGAGAATCCTGGATTAGTGAAGTTACGTTGAGGAACCCAGTGGAGTATGAACCCTTGTTAACATAAACAAGGAGCTGTGTGCAGATTTCCTTTCTTATTACTTTTTTATAACTTACCAGTTTTCTGCGGGAAGTAGTACATGGAAGGAAAGGACAGGAAGGGGGCCCTAATCAGAAAATAGCATTTTGAAAATAAATTAGGATGTGTTGGTGAACTCTTAATGTATCCCATCCAGTTAGGCTTCTTTTAAAGAAATACCATGAGTGGGGGTAAGGGAAGTTTCTCAGTCTCTCTCCCCATAAAAAGCAGATTGAATAGGAATTGTGTTTCTTCAGAAAAATTTTTTAAGAGTGAGACTAATCATAATCCTTGATCTTTCATTTAGTTTATCTTTTATCTTTTTTGATCTTCTCAGCAAGGACACTATCATTACCAAATTTAACTTGCTTTTTTTTTCTGTTAATCCCAGTTATTAATGTAGTGCAATCAAATGCTCAAAGAATGGAAGATAGTGATTTCTGGATTTAGACTTTCTGTGAGCACATAACCAGCAAATGGTCAAATTCATGCCATCAAATGGCTAGACAGCAATGGTTCATGAGGACCTGGGCTTTGATTATTCCTGAATTGTTGTTCAGTCCACTTCGAAGGGCAGAGGTTTGCCAATCTTCAGCTTTCTCTCACCATTCCTGTGGGAGATAACTGCTGCCCAACTTGTTATAGGACAATGATTAGACTTGGATGAAAGCTAGTTGTGAAGCAGCCCTGGTGACACACAGGAAACAGCAGAAAATATGAAAGACACTGTAAAGACAAGAAGAATTGCCTGATGCATGACTCTAGGTGAACTCTCTCTGGGCTGCTAAGCAAGGAGTTAGGATCTGGGACTGCCAGCAGCCGCTCTACCTGTGGGAGGGCTGCAATTTCCCACATGACAAGAGCGTCCTTTCTTTCAAGTAGGAGAATCTAGGAAAAAAATTAAGTTTTAACAGGACCAAGGGTGAGAGTGGGGGATGGAGTAAGTTCTACAGATTCAGGGCAGCCACCATTTTCCAGAGTACCATAAAGAGCTGGAATCCAAGCTCAGACTGCTTGGTGGCTGAGGTCAAATTATGTATTACTTATCATGTGAAATGCAACTGTCACACTTACCTCATAAGGTACACACAGGATAGGCACAGTAGGATATGGGGTCCTTTTGATACAGCCCAGCAATGCATAACATTTAGCTATGCCCTAGCCGAAGCGCAGTATTCGTGACACCAAGAGATCAAGAGGCTATAGGCACCTGCTGACACTTAAGAAGAAGAAACAGGTAACATGAATACCTTATATGCATTAAAGGAATTTTCTTTAAAAAACAACAAAGAAATAAAACAACAAATCCAAAGGCTTTTCTTCAAGTAAAATCCTAGGCTCTTATGGCTTCACTGGTGTAATGGTTCATTTTATGTGTCAACTTGACTGGGCTAAAGGATGCCCAGGTAGCTTGTAAAATATTATTTTTGGGTGTGTTGTTGACAATGTTTCCAGAAGAGATTAGCATTTAAATTGGTAGGCCTGGTAAAGAAGATTGCCCTCATCAATGTAGATGGGCATCATCTAATTTGTTGTGCTCCTAAATAGAACAAAAAGGTAAAGTAAGTTAGAATTTGCTCTCTGCTTCAGCTGAGACATCCATCTTTTGCCCTCAGACATCAGTGTTCCTGGTTCTTAGGCTTTTGGATTCAGACTGTGACTTAGGCCATTGGTCCCATGATTCTCAGGCCTTCAGACTCGTACTGAATCACCGCCCTGACTTTCCTTTTTCTCCAGCCTGCAGACAGCAAACTGTGAGATTTCTCAGCCTCACAACACATGAACCAATTACTATAATACTTTTGTATTTACCTATATCTATATCTTATTGGTTCTGTTTCTCTGGAGAACACCAACTAATGCACATTTTGGTACTGAGAGTGGTCCTAGAGGAACTGAATGTTAAGGATGAGTTTCTGAATTGATTCTTGAGTTTCTGGAATTAACTGTTTAGTATTATTAGATTTAAAGAAGTTAATGACTCTATTTTCTTTTTTTTTTTTTTAAAGATTTTATTTATTTATCTGACAGATAGAGAGACAGCGAGAGAGGAAACACAAGCAGGAGGAGTGGGAGAGGGAGAAGCAGGCTTCCCGCCGAGCAGGGAGCCCGATGCGGGGCTCAATCCCATGACCCCGGGACCATGACCCGAGCCGAAGGCAGACGCCCAACGACTGAGCCACCCAGGCGCCCCATGACTCTATTTTCAATAGTAAAGAGAGATAGTCCATGAACTGTTTATAGAGATATGCAAAATATCTGCATTGGGTACTCCTAATCAGTGACATATAAGAAGGAAGGAGCTAAGTGACTCTGTATATGATATTTAGAACATTTTTGAAAACTAAGAAATATAATGACATTGGTTGGTTTCTCCAAATGTCCCTGGACAAAGTAGTAAAGAAAAAGATGAGCTGAAGGATTTGAATTCTGAGTAATGAATGACTTAAGTTTTTCTAGTTGTGCCCTGAAGGAGAGCCTTATCTCCTATAGCCACAGGGTTGAAATTGTTGAAAATCAAATGCATAATCTTATCATTTAATTGGCTGAATTACAATGGAAGCCCTAGCCTTGCAAGGTGTCTACTGTTGAAGTGAGGGCAATTGACTGGGAAAGAAGGGGATCCTGTAAACTGGAATAGGAATGTGTGCAAAGGCCTTGATGAAGCTGGGTACATTGAGCCCCTAAATTCTGATGAGTCTAATTTGCCAGTAGATGGTGTCTCCCCATAGCCAGTGGAATTGGTCTCCCCATTCCCAATGGTAGCCTCCCCACCCACAGTAGTATGGCCTTTTCACCTGTGTCTGAGGGTATTAAACTTGCATTGCCTAAGCAAATGATAAGAGCCTCCCATGAGGTAGTTTTCATGCATAACAATGCTTATTCTCCTCAGGACCCACTTGCCATGGCTCTTCTTTACTTTTAGACCTGTAACTAAACTTACATCCCAGTAGGCCCCTAAAGGTGAGGTACTATGTGACCCATGAGGAGGTGTGCTACACTGCAAAGGAACTATTTGAGTTTTTAATTTATACAGACAGAAATCTGGAGAACATGTGTGGGAATGGATACTAAGAATATGCATGGAATATAGAATAATGGTGAAATGAACATAAAGTTGGCTCAGGCTGAATTTATTGATATGGGCCACTAAGCAAAGATTTCACATTCAATGTTACAGCTCAAGGAGTTAGAAAGGACTCTAGCAATTTGTTTGGTCTGTTGGCTGAAACATGGAATTTAGGTGGCCCACAGTGCATAAAATAGAAATTCCTGACCTGCCTTGGTATAATGTAGAGGAAAGTGTTCAAAGGCTTAGGGAAATTGGAATGTTAGAATCATTTAAGACCTACTCACCCACACCAGGAGAGTCCTGAAGCCATACCATGAGAAATAAATTTGTGAGAAATGCCCTAGCATCCTTGAAGAGTACCTATCTTTAGGTCATATCCCATAGTAGAAACTGCAGTCACTGAATTGGGCAACCTAAAGCAATGGGAGTAATTGAGTCCAATGGTGTCAGGAGCCAAGTTGTACCACTCATCCACCAAAGGCAAAGTGGATATGGTTACTGTAGTGGACAGCAGAGACAAAGCAACAATCTGAATAGCCTGACTCATTCAGACATGCCTTTGGCTAGTTGATCATTGTGTTTCTACCAGTGAAATAGATAGGAAGGCTACTAAATTCTTACTTGATCTGTATAAACCGAAAAGTTTTCAGTAAAATGAAAAAAGTTTAATCTGGATCATAAGAGAGAGACTCATGACTACTCAATCAATTTCCAGTTTATAGGCCTAGAACTCCTTGAATGAAGGGGAGACTAGAACTCCTTGAGTAAGGACCCTGGTACACTACTGATAAGTATACTGTTACTCTTTCTCCCCACCCTCCCAAAGACACCTGAAGCCCTTTTTCAGGGTAACTGTACATTGGAG